GTACCGATCACCTCCAGTGGCCAGACAGAGGAGAGCTATGGGAAGTGTTTTATCACCACACATCTGAAAGAAATGAGAATCAGGTTCTATTTTTATGCAGAAGAGTAGGAAAAGAACACCGGGTCCAGGCTCAAGCCATATTACCACCACCAGTCGTGGGTACGATAATGAAAGTCACTCGAGGGAACTACCGGTACACCCTATGGAGGGATTTACTTGATGACAGAGCTATATCAGGGACAAGCGCTGTCTATCTAGAAGAGGAAGAGCCTCGACGTGTAACATTTGCCGATGAGATCATCCAGAATAGCGAGAATAAGCAAATTACACCACAGCTGAATGCTACAGGACAAGCAGGACAAATATACTGCAGAGTCAAGATAAACGGACAAATACAACAAGCCATGATAGATTCAGGGGCTACAGGAAATTTTATTGCACCAGAGGCTGCAAAGTACTTGGGAGTCCCACTCCAGAAGAAACAAAACCCCTACCAATTGCAGCTAGTTGACGGACAGCTAGCAGGATCTGACGGGAACGTTTCACAGGAGACACGACCAGTACGAATGAATATGACCCAACATTCGGAGGTTATACAGCTTGACGTTGTGCCATTGGGCCAACAACAGATCATCTTAGGAATGCCATGGTTGAAGGCACACAACCCTAGAATAGATTGGTCACAAGAAACAGTGACATTTGATCAGTGCAAGAACGGTCACGACGACACGTTCAAGGCGTCCGCGAGACGTAACACGCGCCAAGGAGAGTTGAACGCGAACAACACCGGCGACGTAGGACACCCAGTCCAGGGTCCTTCATTAAGAGCGAAGGACAGTACACCTCCTCTACAAATGCAGAAGCCAACGACACGGCACGAAATCGCAATTAAGGCAAAGGAGCCTATGATACCAGAACAGTACAAGAAATACGAACATGTTTTCAAAGAACCAGGGATCCATGAGGCTTTACCAGAACACAAGCCATGGGATCATGAAATAATATTGGAGGAAGGCAAGATGCCTGTGCACACCCCAATTTATTCAATGTCGGCCGATGAGCTAAAGACGCTCAGGGAATATATCAATGACAATTTGGCCAAGGGATGGATCAGGGAATCCACGTCCCAAGTGGCAAGTCCAACTATGTGGGTAGCCAAGAAAGATGGTACTAAGAGACTAGTTGTGGACTACAGAAAGCTCAATGCGCTTACCAAAAAGGATCGATATCCACTTCCATTAGCTACGGAACTAAGAGATCGATTAGGCGGAGCAACGATATTCACCAAGATGGACTTACGCAATGGCTACCACTTGATTAGAATAAAAGAAGGCGAAGAATGGAAAACCGCTTTCAAAACCAGATACGGGCTATACGAATACCAGGTTATGCCATTTGGGCTAACCAATGCACCAGCAACATTTATGAGGCTTATGAATAATGTGCTGTCACAATATTTGGACACTTGTTGTATATGCTACTTAGACGACATTCTAGTATATTCAAACAACGAAGTTCAACACGTCAAAGACGTCAGCAACATCCTCGAATGTTTGGCTAAAGTTGATTTGCTATGCAAACTAAGCAAATGTGAATTCCACGTCACAGAAACAGAGTTTCTAGGATTCACCGTATCAAGCCAAGGGCTCAAGATGAGCAAAGACAAGGTTAAGGCAGTGCTCGAATGGAGGCAGCCAACCACAATCAAAGAAGTACAGTCCTTCTTGGGATTTGTCAACTTCTACAGAAGATTCATCAAGGGTTATTCAGGGATTACTACACCCTTAACCACGTTAACCAGAAAAGATCAAGGAAGCTTCGAATGGACCGCCAAGGCGCAGGAGTCCTTCGAAACGCTCAAACAGGCAGTGGCCGAGGAGCCAATACTGTTGACATTCGATCCTGAGAAGCAAATCATAGTGGAAACGGACTCCTCAGATTTTGCTATAGGCGCAGTGTTGAGCCAACCAGGTCAAAATGAGAAATAGCAACCAATCGCATTCTACTCTCGAAAGCTATCACCAGCCGAATTGAACTACGAAATATATGACAAAGAATTACTGGCGATAGTCGACGCATTTAGAGAATGGCGAGTATATTTGGAAGGATCAAAATACACAGTACAGGTGTATACGGATCATAAGAACTTGGTTTACTTCACCACAACGAAGCAGTTAAACAGACGACAGGTCAGATGGTCGGAAACCATGGCCAACTACAATTTTAAGATTTCATATGTCAAAGGATCAGAAAACGCTAGAGCCGACGCTCTTAGCCGAAAACCAGGATATCAAGAAAATAAGTCGTACGAATCGTACGCTATATTCAAGAAAGAAGGCGAATCACTGGTTTACAATGCACCACAGCTTGCAGCTACTCATATATTGGAAGACAACCATCTCAGGAGTCAAATCCAATCACATTACGACAAGGATGCTACAGCTATACGCATACGCAAGACAATAGAACCAGGATTCACGATAGAAAACGAGATCATATACTTCCACGGAAAAGTATACATTCCTAGTCGAATGACTAAGGAATTCGTGACGGAACAACACGGGTTGCCGGCACATGGACATCAGGGAATTGCGAGAACATTCGCAAGATTACGGGAAATCAGTTACTTCCCACGAATGAGAACGATAGTTGAAGAAGTTGTTGGAAATTGCGATACCTGCATACGGAATAAGTCCTCTAGACACGCTCCGTATGGTCAGCTCCAGACCCCAGACATGCCTTCTCAGCCATGGAAGTCCATTACATGGGACTTTGTGGTCAAACTACCACTCTCGAAAGACCCTACTATAGGAGTTGAGTACGACGCAATACTCAACGTAGTAGACAGATTGACAAAATTTGCATACATGATACCATTCAAAGAAACATAGACTGCTAAGCAACTAGCATATGTATTCTTTAGGGTTATAGTAAGCATACATGGAGTACCAGATGAGATAATCTCGGACAGAGACAAGCTCTTTACCTCGAAATTCTGGACTACCTTATTAGCACTTATGGGTATCAAGAGAAAGTTATCGACATCTTTCCACCCACAAACAGATGGTCAGACAGAAAGGACCAATCAGACAATGGAAGCATATCTTAGATGCTACATAAATTATCGACAGGACAATTGGGTAGAGCTATTACCTATGGCACAATTCGCATATAACACATCGGAATCGGAAACTACAAAGATTACACCAGCACACGCGAACTTTGGGTTTAATCCTAAAGCATACCAAACACCGATACCACAGAAGGTTAATGCCGAATCAGCAATAATACAAGTCGAACAATTAAAGGATTTACAAGAGCAGCTTGCTCTCGATCTAAGATTCATATCATCCAGAACAGCAGCGTACTACAATACGAAACGTAGTATGGAACCTACGCTTAAAGAGGGGGATAAAGTTTATCTGCTACGACGAAACATCGAAACTAAGAGACCAAGCAATAAACTAGACCACAGGAAACTAGGACCATTCAAGATTGATAAGGTAATAGGAACAGTTAATTATCGATTGAAATTACCAGACACAATGAATATCCACCCAGTATTCCACATATCCTTGCTCGAACCAGCACCACCAGGAGCGCCAAACGCGCCATTTACAGAAATTGAACCAGTCAATCCAAACGCCATATACGATGTCGAAACAATACTAGACTGCAAATACGTCAGAGGCATAGTCAAATACTTGATCAAATGGTTAGATTATCCACATACCGAAAACTCATGGGAACCGAAAGAAAACCTCAACTGCCCTGAGAAGTTGGAGGCATTCCATCAACAATACCCGGATCTGCCCAGAAAGAAGGAGAATCCATTGAAGCAAGGATCGAAGGATCCAAAGAAGAACCAAAATCGAAAGAATCGTCACCAGCAACAACGGAGGAACTAGAAGCTTGTTCCTTCTCCTTTTCTAGACGTTCATTTTCCAATCGTTGTTCCTCGGCTTCAAATTCCTCAAGGGCCTCGATGGTATGCAAGTCATGTTGCAACATCTTACCCGCCTTTTCACGAAGAATCTTTTGTTGCCTACGAATTCTCATTCGACGAGCAAAAGCTTCTTGCTCCAGTTTTGCAGCAGCTTCTTCCTCCGCTTCAAGACGAGCTTCTTCACGCTCCACGCGAGCCCAGTTACCAGCAGAATGACCATAAACGTTACAGTCACCACTTCCTACGCTTTTGGCGCATTCACCACAACGAGAACTATTAGGAAGAACCCTACATTCCAGATTTTTATCAACACAACGACTACACCTAAACGGCATAATGATTCCTTTTTCTTTGGAACGAAAATAAATGTTTTTTCGACTGCTAGCAGATTTTTCAGAACGAATGGCTGGCATAATGAGAAAGCAAAAGCATTAGAGAGAGCGAACTCCTGAGTGGGGAAGCTTACTTTATGAACGCTTGGGGCAAGCGCTAGGATAAGAAGGGGATAGTGTTACGACCGAGGTCGTCACATGACTAGATTGATTAAAATATCACCTGACCAAGGTGTCCCACTGAGTCCCACTGAGTAAGGCCCAGTGGGACACAGTGGGAAGCAGTGGGACAACAGAGAACGAAGGTCTATATAAGGGAATGGGATTTCATTACAATATAGAGCTTCGTGCTCAAGAACAATCATTAGTTTCATTACTATAGTTACGAGAATTGCAACCAGTTACCAACCTTATTGAATTCCTACTTGAAGTCTAGTCTAAACCACCTCGAGAGATCTCTAGACACTTCCACGTGACCCTAGAGGCAGCTCCCGTAACACCGACTTATAGTGGCCTATGCATCAGAGGAGAGTGAAGAAGGGAAGCGAGTTTTGGAAAAAATGAAAGGAATTCTGGGTCGAGACATCACAAAATTCGAGACGTAAAAGATAGTTCTATTTTAGCTATTCAAGTCCGGTTTGAGATCATAAGAAGTTCGTTCACAGTGCAAACAAACCAGCCGAGATGAAAGTTAATTGATAGAGAAGAAATCAGATAAAAATTCATCTTGGCATCAATCTTAGACGGCGTACCTCTCTAGAGACATTTCTAGCCATCTTTTCAAGCGCCTCCATTGCACCAATCTGCAACCGATACGACTTGGCAACATAATGGCAGTGATGATCCACGAAATAATGTAGAAGCTCTTCTCGCAATCTTGCATAAGTGATGTGGGCAGAAAGAGGATTGGAATGCAGAGCATGACATGCATGAAACTAAGTGGTTATATTCGTTAGCATTAGAAATTAATAGGGAGTTCGTTCGGGCATATGCAAGCTAAATGCACACAACCAAAATGCAATTGCCAAAGCGTGCTGTATAAGCAGAATTGTAATCAATGCCTGCCAAAAATAAGGCTTGACCGCCCCCTGGCGTATACCACTCGGCCTTATTAAAGAAGCCACCGGCTCATCTAAGTATGAGCGCCTCATCAAATCACGGATAGCGACGGCATAGGTGACAATTCGGATGGTGATCGGTAGATTGGCACGTCGTAGCTCTGGCTTCACGCGCGCTAGGAGATCGTGAATGGTGAGGAGCGGCTCATTCTGTTGATTCATGTTCACAATATAGAAATACTTAAAGTGGTTAGTAAGATCTTTGTGATCTAATTTCTGGTTGAGGAAGATGAGGATGATTGGAACAGAAATATATGATGAGAAATGTCTATGATATCGTGTGTGATTTTTGAAAGATGGAAACGACAATGGTAATGGTGTGTATGGGAAGGGCAATTTATATGAGGAACGAGATGGGGATTATTAGTACATTCTAAAAAGAATCTTTACTTAGCTTATTGTTAGCTTAGCTTAGAGTTATGTTCAGAGCCAGTGAGAAAACCGTGATATCAATATTTTTTGCGAATATCATTGATGTCGTAAAAAGGGGTGTTGTTTCTCTCTCGCTGTAATAGATTATACAATCTGGGAATTCTTGAATCTTCAAGAAGGGGTCTGGAAGTCATGAGGAAGTTCCTTTTGGTATTTATATTCCAGAAAACAAGATTTCTGAGAAAAATCTGTGCAATTTACATCAGATTACTATGCATAGTGTACAATCTAATGTATCTAGCTTCTGGGCTGTTCTAATAGTAGCGTGGAACTAATCATCGGATCATGTGACTCAACGATTAAACTCAGATGGACTTCAAATGTAGCACTGTGTATGAACGGTGGAGACATTGACCGAAAAGCCTTTTACTTACTAGGAAGTATATAACCGCTCGTCGTCATCTGCCTCCCAACGAGAAGAAACTTTTGCATGAATCGTAACATCATGAAAATATTGAACAGTTTTGACGATGCGACATGAGGCCAAGCACGCTCAGAAACATATGCAGCCAATGTTAAACTTGATAATCTCACACACTTGTGATATAAGACGAGAGGACTAAGTATTATTGTGAAGTAGTGTCATCTCTCCACGAAATGAGATGATTAGACGAAAATTTGAAAAGGAAACTTCATAAAAACCTTGAAATATAGAATGACTCTTCGCACAATGATTTTTCTGATATGGGACTGAGGGAGTACATATCTCATTGAGGCCAGTAAGGTGTTGCATTTCCATGGGGGTTTGTCGTCAAGTAATCGAGGTATAATGAATTGATCTATTCTTTGACTTCAATGTACACCGCCGCGCCCCTCGAGATCCCAAGCATCCACATAGTCTATCGTTTCACTCGCAACCTCTATCCCTTTCCGAACCAAGTCTTGTGTCCCAAAACCATTCTCGACATCATGTACATAGATCCTGTAATTCCAACATCAGTCAAGCCGTTCCTGCCTCTCAAGGAATGCTATACATACCGGCGAAACCTCCCCAGAGAGCGACGTAGTATGGGTAGAGCATGAACTTGCTGCGAGAAGTCTGCATAACTTGTCAGAATTGTCCTTCATTATAGCCGTGGGTATTTTCTATCCCCACCCCCATGCCTGGGAATGGAGAGCAGTTCACGTACTTGGTTCCATTGACGAATGTGCTTCTTAGCACCTTCTTGGAAGAGCGCCTGGTAGTAAGGAACGCGGTTCTCGCGGAGTTTGTAGCTATTAGGTTGATAGAGTCAGTAAATGGTCTTGCAACAATTTCTCGCAGGTTCGGTGAAGGGTGGAGTCGGGTGTGACCATGATCTCAGCAACCCCTCAACATGTATCGCGGTCCTGTCAAGATTGAGGAGTGTCACTTACCCAGCCATTGTGTCTGTATTTGAGGCGTTAATGCGGTTTGTTTGGGGTATTCGAGGAAGTGGTTCGATGTTGAATTCGCAGGAAGCTCGGATTCAAAGCCGCGCTAGTGTTTATGACTAAGCATTTTCAACTTCCCAAGCAGCCCCAAAATATTTTGAAGAACGACAATGCTCAACTAACTTGTAAGCTTTAATGAAAAGCATGCGATACTTTCTATGGCAGTGATGGATCTGTATAAGTATCTGACCGAAATCTCAAGGGACGGCGCATCATAATGCGCCCTGCGTTACAACGACTCATCTCTAGATATTCATCATTGAATCTCCTTCGATATCTAGTACACGCATCGAATACCCCGCCGTCCGCCAACATTCAATATGATTGTGCTGGTAAGAGATGCAATCGAAACTACGGAAGTGCCAGCATTGGGCTTGAGACTGCCAATCAGTATGACTCGCAACATGATAGCCTTGTTACCGCCCAACCAACTGTACGGCATGTGGTTTCGAAAAGAGCCTCGAATGGCTCCAACACAGTCATGCCTCATGCCGATACGAAATCGATGACTACACAAAAACACAAAAAATGGAAAAATTACTTCACACCTGGGGAACTTGAATATGAATCGCGTGTATCCGAAAGGGCTCGGGAAGGCGCACTACGATTAGTCGATAACCCGATTTATGAGAAAGACATTGAACTTTGGGCGGTGCTCTTAGTATACAGGCAACGAATTTATGGCAGTGAGGGAGTGAGGATGATCTGGGAAGCAATAATCACTAGGAACATCCAATTGCCAGTCGAAGGTTTGGCATCTTGGACAATGTGGAGGGCCTTTTTAGATCTAGGCCTAGAAGATAAAGCTGTGCTTGAAAGCATTATTCGATATGCGGATGGCCTACTGCAACAAACCGGTCAACGTTGGAATGGACTTTACATGAGACTCATGTATCATCTTTTAATGAATAACAGAGGCGCCGAAGCATTTCAATGGCATCGAAGATTAATGGTGCATCATTCACCAGAGACTAAAGCTTTCGAAAAATTATGTTTCAGAGTAATTACCCTCGGGGGAGATATCGAAGCTCTGCGGAAGATTTATGAAGGAAGTAGATTTCATGTATCATATTCGAGCATCATGGTACCATTATATCATCGAGAAAAATACTCATCTGCATATAAATGGCACTTCTCGCTTTTTCGGAAAAAAGACTTTCCCAAAACTGCGAGACCTACAGAAGATCTGATTCGACTCCTGACAAAATTCAGAAGCCCTTTGGCTCTTCGGGTCGCCCGCAGCTTGGTACATGCAGGGATATCCATACCTCCTGGTCTAGAGTATGAGCTTAAAGACACTCAAAGTATATCTAGAGAGATGATGAATCTTATTCATGGTGAAGTCTTTCATATTAAACCTAAAAAATATGATGATGAATTGGGAGCTCGATGGCTTGCTACAACTTGGGTACCATTAGATGTATCTATACAATCCATTCACGCACTGGGAGTTAAAGAGATTGGGCCCTTATCATTTCAATCTATTGCTCTGCGGAATCCGGATATCAAAGCTATCATTAAGAGGCTCAATCAGCTTGCAGATCTTGGTATATCTCCTGGTCAGTCGAAGTTTGTCAAGGCCGTGGAATTCTTTGCGAGAGAGGGAAATCAAGAATTAGTGAACGCATTGGTGAACAGCGACCAGCATCCTGCAGCACTTGATGACTGGATACTCCAAGAGAAACTCTTGGCTTCGTATGCAGCCAAAGAACAGATAATCGAATTCCGACAAGCGATGGCCATACGATTAGTCGGGAGTAGAACCCCTGATTTTGACGTTTACAACATACACCTTAGAATTTGCGTTATCAGACACCAATGGAACGCTGTGCTGAAGACATTATCCGATATGCGGATAAATCGTATACCGGTTAAACTGACTTCAATATCCTGTATTCTGCGGCAACTCTTACGACCACGTCGACGCGGTCGGCGACCAGTAATGGATCTCAAGCACAATAACTTCGATGATATATCTGTGGCTACCAAGATTTTAACGGGAATCATGACATCCGGCTCATCAGTTCCAGTACATCATTGGACTGAAATCATTCGGCGACTAGGCATGCTTGGCCGCGAAAAAGAGTTACACAACTTGTGCATGTTTTTAGCTTCCTGGTATGGCTCAAAAAATCACGATCTTCTACCTGGTGTAAACCATCTACGAATTCGAGATCGCACGCAACTTCCAGATGATCTAGTTCCTACTTGGCACCATCAACATCCTCTTAAGCGTCTCTTCCCACCCAGTCTGCAAAGAGCCATTGTGGAATGGGGTTTTCAACGAGCGTTAGCGAGCCCATTACCAAAGGCTCAAGGTCTTTTACGCGCGAGTAATAAAGTAACATATAATATCACGAGCGGCATTGTACTTTTGCGAGAACTCCACCACATGGGCGTAGAGATCGAACCATATGCGATCAGGAGAGCAGTTGTTAATCGTTTGATCATTCTTTATGGACCGGGAAGATCCACTGTTAAAGCGAATCGACAAGCGCGAATTCTGAATCCCCTGAGCTTGGAAGAGGCAATAGCTGAGATTGATGATTGTCTACCAGGGACAAACATGTTCCCTTATCCAGATGCGGCGAAGCATATTCGACACCAAGCCAACATGAGATTCTTAAGAATTAGACGTTGGCGCTTGAAGCGAGATACTAGATGGCGATTGACAGGGAGGTTTTGATCCTACTGTTGGGACATGTACGAATGTTGTATCATATGTTGTATCATAGTTTGAATTGATGTCAGGGTTTATGTGTATGCAGTTTTGATATCCTAGGGACTTTGGATCTCTCAAATCACATCAATTTTACAAAGCAATTATGCTTCCCAAGTGATCTCTTAGACAGTGTTCCTCTTTTGAAGTACCATCTTTCCGGGGAACAACAGGTATCCGAAGGAAGAGATCATATAACTAATGCGGTATCCCCGGGGTTAGCTACCGGTCATATGAGTTGTGCCATTCCATTTATAATCGGACGAGAAGGGCGGTCGACAAACGTTATTTGGTCAGATACTAATGTGACGATACCAATTCTTCATGACCATGAGAAAAAGGCGAAGATGCCTGCAACGTGGTGTCTCATTTTCTAAATAACCCGGGAGCAGTAGCCTAGATGCAATTCATGTGAGTTTAAATTGGGATTTGGGAAAGAGGGAGTGATACAAAATTCCTACGCGATTTCCCCTTTCTGTGATATTTCAAATATTCCAAAGTATGCGAGCAAACATTTCTGATGGAGCGTGTGTCTTGCCTGCAAATTTACACAATAATGAAGAATTCTATCATCAATGTGAGTCTAATTCGAGGATAGTGACTAACGTTTACATGCTGATGTATGTATTGCTATTGGTGATGAAGGTCTGATGACAATGTTTCCACAAACGCCGAATTTTGAGTCCGGTGTTTGGAAATTTGAGTCATGTGTACAGATATGTGCTCGTTCATCTTCCTCCCATATAAGAATAAGAGTTCTACGCCCATAATCTCAAAGATTCCATCCATATCCTACATGGTTTTGAAACCAATTCAAATCAAAGAAATCAGACAAAGTCTTAAAAACAACAAGACAACATACCACATCACTATGTCGAACAGTGCGCTCCCAAGCTTACCTCCGCCCTATCTCCCTGGAGACCACGCACAATGGATTACCAATGGCCATTACATATACGTCATAATACGAACGAACCGAATGGAAGGTCCTCAGGGATTTGAGTACATCGTTGGGGCTCCTCCATTCTCGACTAGTGATATGGTGATGAGCAGGGCTAGGGAGGAAAATTTGAGGGTTTTTGCTAGGGAAGAATCATCTTCGAGAGATCAGGATACTTGAAATTGGGATATTTGTGCTGAGTTGGGAGATTCTAGCGATGATCTGAAAGAGGCTCTTGAGAGTGGTCTTGGATTGATTGTATGTAGTGGACATTCTGATGGTTATTTGATTTCTCGGGATCATCGGGGTTCTTCTTTGATTTAAATATGATCCTTCCATGTACTCAGCTATATTTATCAGTCGTGGCATACTAAAATTGATAATCGATCTTGATGAAGTGGTTGAAAAATCAGCAATGTATTGTTTAAAGAATGAATCGATTGTCAGCTAATGACTTTGGTGCTTCAGAATCTACCACTTCAAACTGCACAACGTGGAATTATGATTTGCTCTGAGATATCAATCCATATTATAGTATATGGAAAGTGTGCCAAAATTCAACTGAGCCTTATCGATCCTTTGCTATCCTACTTAGCTGTCCCTCTTCAACCTTCTTCAAATCCCCATTCTTTAACTTTATCATATAATAACACCTAATGTTGAAATTTCCACGCCCTTCTTCAGGACAAATTTCCTCTCTTATGCGCTCCGATCTCACGGTAACGGTAACCAATTTAGCATCCTCAACGGAAGCACCAATGTTCAAATGAATTTCCGATGTCGAGTCTCGGTCTATAGTAACATTGCTAGTTTCCGGTGCAATCTGAATGTCAGACGTGGGTGCCGTTGATATTTCTCCTTTTCCGGTCCAATGAACACGACTGCCTTTCTTGAATATTACTTTTGTAGGATCCTGAAGTTCGTTAGTTGAGGTTTCGCGAGTGAGTAGGGGGGAGAGGGACGGATGGAAGAACAGATGTGTCATCAGAGCAATTAGAGCAGGAATTGCCCATCAAGGGTTTTTCATTAGAGTTTGGAATCATGGCGTGAGATCCCGACTGTGATATTTTTCATGTAATTAGAATTGGAATTTTCTAGTGATATTTGAAGAGGATAGCATTTGACTAGTATTTTGTCGAAATAAGTAAATATTGATCTTCTGTTACGGCATCTTCTTGTCTACACAGCAAGTGATGACTTATATAATTGAAGATTGTTTCGATTTTGGATCGCTTGGTATTCACTGTGTCTGCAAAACGCATTATTAGTAACTATTTACAAACTCACAACTCTGAATCACTAGCTGGAAGTGCAAACATATAAGTGATTCACTTCAAAATTGCTTGGGGACACTCATATCTCATCACAGCAGCAATCTCCGAGGAAGTTGAGCCTAGATCTAGGACTTCTTGATGGCAATCGCAGTCTAAACTGTACACCTGAGCTGTATGGAGATGATTTGAGAGACTATTTGAACTGATGCCGACGATATTATCAGGGTGTCTAGCAGTCAGGACTGTAGTCTAACAATCAAAAGCTTTGGAATATTCAACCCTAATAGAGATTGAAATTGCTTTTATTATCAACTTAATTTCATACAACATATCTATGATTAAACCTCGTGATAGCATTTGATGGAGCAGTCATATCATAATATAAAAATCACAATGGTCAAGAATATAAACTTTCAAGATTAACATCAAAATCAACCATTTTTATTGCTCCAAACCTGGCCAATATGTCCAAAGCATACGATTCTTATACAGAATTGGACCAATCAATATTGCCATTCCGCATTTGCATCCTCTACTCAACCGCACAAAGCCATCTTAACTCCTTCCCATTGACCCTTTGGACGCTCGTCTCCGCTTCGATTCGTATATCATAAAACACGCTAACTTCTTCGGGTGTGATAATTCTACTGGTACTGGTAATCGAAGCTCCGTTCAAATTTGCTCCTCTGTGTGAACGTGGCGCCGCAATAACGGTTTCGTGTTTCCTAACCACAGTGACACGGATTTTAGCATCATCGTTTGAGTTGTTGGTTGACGGAGGCGAAGAAGAGGAAGATGATTGTGGTGGTGGTGACGGGGGAGGTGTAATTCCTTTGTGGCCGGTCCAAAAGAGTATGTCGCCTGTTTTGAATGCTTGCGCGGATTGTGGAACCTGTAGTCTTTTAGCTGTGGTTTTTATCTAGACACAAGGTATTAGATAAATGGAGGGTATAACGAACAGCCGAGGGACCACTTCCTGATGAATGGGAAAAGAGGGTCTCCATGAAAGGAGTTTGCGGTCGACGCGACATGATACTTTTTTTATTTGGTCTGGAAAGATTCGGTGCTCTCTGTTTTTACAATTTCTCGTGAGCCTAAGAGCAATTTAACGAGTTTCTAGTGAATAAAGGATTATGTTACTTTTACCTCTAATCACTTGGCTTCTAATTTCCCTCTTATATAAGCGAATGGCTTAAATATCACAATGGTGAATTGTTTGGAGTTTGAAGATTGACTCCGTACTACAAAAGATGTTGTGAGCACATCACTATCAATCCCCATTCAGGAACCAAACTTCTATCATCATGTCCTTCCTAACTCCCAAACTGCATGATGACTACAACCACTCTACGCATGGACGGATTGTTAATAAAATCATGGGAAGTCATATTATGGGTTGTGTGTGTCTACCAGGTGCCATAGAGTGGTTAAAGTGTATATAATATCGATTTTACTTGATTAACAAACAACTCAATGGGAGGCAGAGAGGTAGGCAGTGTTTGTTATCTTAATGAGTATTATGAATTTTAAAGTAACTCAGGGAGTTTGATCATTCTTTTGTCTAAACAAAACGTCAATTATTCTACTTCACTTGTAATAATTTTTTCTTAAATCAGATCTTGTAGGACAAAGTCCATGGAAGCATACACTTGATGAGACTATGGGGTCTTGAGAGCAAGATTGTGCAGATTTTGAAAGAAGAGGTTTTGAAATTCATGAGAAGAGGATTAGGCTGTACATATTTGGTCCCTAAGTATGGCTGTGCTCAGGTGTTCACATGGGGACGGGACGATGCAGCATAGAAGCAAGATTCCTGTGATTATTATTATCTTCAAAGCTAACAAACTATTGACCTTTCTCTGACCATTCCGATACTGGATGCCAACTCAACTCTCTGCCACTGACTCTATACCTTGTAGCGCCACTAAATAACATGATATCATACCAGTCTTCCACCTCGCTGGCATTCGCCTCGGTAATTCTCCGTGCTTCATTAACACATACAGGAGAAGATGCAGAAACAACGCATTTTTCATACTTCCTCAAAATCGTGGCACGAATCGAGATAGGTACCGATTGTGGCCAAATTAGGTTTGTGGGATTAGTCCAATAAACAACAGTGTTCACCTCGAATACAATGCCTGCGAATGGATCGTAGAGTGGTGATGGAGCTGGAGGTTTACCGACAGGAGTCATGGCTGGAGGGCCACCGGAGTCGTTTTATGGATTGGACTTTGCTATTAAATTTTCAGCCTGGCACAAGAGATGTAAAAAGGAACAGTCTTCACAACCTCCCTTTGATAATCCTAAATTTGAACGAAAAGTCATTCTTACACTAAAGCCTGTAACGTGTGCATTATATAGATTAGGGTTTTCATCCCACGGAATGAGGGATTTGATCGCTTAGAAACTAATTTGACATCAACAGATCTGTTTGTAATGACTGCCCAGTTGTATGGACATAGGTGAATGACCTCAAGTCATTAGGCTGATGTAGTACACTAAGCGAGATGGCTAGCTCAAAATACAAGGATTGCTTCTTCCTGTACATAGCTAGCTCTTTAGACAGAATACAATATTAACAATCAGGACTTCCACTATCGGTACTACGTTAGCTGAACTCTTCTCATACAAACATTAACACGAGACCAAGGCGCGTTTGTGAATCAAACACAAGAGCCTGCTGATATTACGGATTTCTATGTGAATAGCGTAGAGAATCCTGATCATAGATGCTTCAATGATCGGAGTCACGGAGTTAAACATTTGAGTGGAAAAAATGAGTAGGTATGTTTTCATAGAAAATCTAGCCTTTTGAAAACGAATAGTGTAGAAAGGTTTTGGAGGTAGAGAGCTGGACTTGATAATGTAATGGGAATGCGTATGAATCGCTCTCCCTCAACCCAAAAGAGTACTCAGCCATACATTTCATCGTTGTATGATGTTGTCTATGTTGTTCATGTTGTGGGTCTATATCTGATACGCATACCTACAAAACAACCCCCTATTGTAAAGATCTCTTAATTTGACCAATTACCCTCAGATTTATCTCTCCCACAATTAACCTACTATTGTATTGCTTCCTAAAATTGAGATTTAATATTCAGGATCTTTATTCGTACTACTGAATGAATGCTATTACTATCTTTGAGAACCGTGACTGTGACCGTGAGTTGATCAATTGTTGGTACTATGTCATATCCGTGTCATTTGTAATTTCTCATTCTCTATAGAAAACCCCTCCGGTAAAACTTCCATTCATATCTCGTTGTCATCAAGAGGGGCTGTTCGGAACCTAGCAGGAATATTGTTCGAATAGCCACCCCTTTGTAAATGTATATTCCCCTCTGTGACTCCAATCTCTTGTAATTCGAGCAACAGATCCTTCTACTTAACTTCACTTAGATCATTGATATTGTTGTAGACATCCATATCACTCTTTGCTGCCATTTTCATATCCAAAGATAGCTTCAGCCAATAACCTTCGCGGTAAACCCAGTCTTCAATCCGAGCATAAGCGATAAAACACACTATCTCCTTTCACCAAACAAAAACACGCCCCAAAAAAACCATGGTAAGCGAATCGAAAGCTCTACAAACCCTATCCAACTACAACAAAGGCAACGCAAGAGTAAGCATACTTCATTCCATAGCCATCAATCCCATCCAAAGAAATCCCAATAACCCAACCCCAGAATCCCAACCTCATCTACAACGGTCTACGCATCCCGGGTGCCGAATTCCATCTCGGCTCTCAAGTATGGTATTACTCATGCGATGACGATGGGGATGTGAGAATTTTTCAAGCACGTATTACCGAGGGCCCCATTCTTTGCTGTCGAGTGATGAGGATACTGGGCGTTGAGAGATATATTTGGCATACTTATTGTATTAAGTATGTGGATGCGAGGGATGCGAGGGATGCGATGAGGGAGCCGAGGGAGATAAATCTTATTGAAGTGCCTGAGATGTGTTTGAGGGAATTAGAGTGTTAAGACGGGTAGCTGCATTACTTAGATAGATATTAGAATGGGATATCGTTGACTTCTCGGTTTCAGAACAGAGTGATTAGAGACTGTGTGGGCTACAGTGTGATTTGGTCGGAATGTCATGGGTGTAATATATTTGGGAAAAGAATGAGATTATAGCCCTGTGATGTTTGTGAATTGTAGGTATAGCCTTCTTGATTATAGAAATATCAATTCTATCGGAACTGTATACTTACCGATCCCTGTGGTGGTAAAGTTTATACTCCAGACGAAAAGAATTTCAATATAGATCCTCATACAAATTTTCAAGACATATATTACAATATTAATATTATTTTCGTTATAAACGAAGCACACGTTTTATTAATAACAAATATAATCAATCAGTTCATTTTGAGACCCGTTATTATTAAATTTTAATAGGAAAAAAGAAAGTAAGGACTCTGAAAGGCCTTTAAGATCTTAGTATTTTTGAATATTAAATTTACAGGACAGGTGAACGAAAGAGTATATGTATAGAGATTAGAAGGAAAAGGTCAAGGAGAAGATTAAAGAGGGGGAGATTAAATAAATAAACGAAAGATATTAAGCGAAGTTAAAGGAGAGTAGGCTAATTTACTTTCGAACTATTCTTTATTAATAAGCTTTATCATTATACTAAAAATATAGAATATATTATATATACAAGAATTTTACTCCTTTCTTACTGTTACGGGAGCTGCCTCTAGGGTCACGTGGAAGTGGCTAGAGATCTCTCGAGGTGGTTTAGACTAAACTTCAAGTAGGAATTCAATAAGGTTGGTAACTGGTTGCAATTCTCGTAACTATAGTAATGGAATTAATGATTGTTCTTGAGCACGAAGCTCTACATGTAAGGAAACCCTTTCCCTTATATAGACCTTTGCACTCTGCGATCCCATCGATCCCACTCACTGAGAGTAGTGGGCGTAGTGGGATCCCACTGATCCCATTGATAATAATCGGTGGGACTGATGGGATGGTCCATCACGTGATACTAGTCCCGTGAGTCTTGTCGTCCTGTCTTATTTCCTGTCCTAGGGCTAATCCCTTGGGAGCTTACTAATCCTAGCAAGACCTCTCTTGCTTACTGTGTCCTGTATTGCTTATTCTTCTTAGGACCCTACTGTCCTAGGAACCATGTCCTATGATTCAGTGTATTCTATAACTAATACTATATACATGCCTGAGGCTTTCCTTGGGTGCCTAGTGTCCCCCGGTATACTGCAGCTGAATCACTGAGGCCTATAATACCATTATAGCCTATAAGTCAGTGATTCTACAGCCTGTTACTAATCCGTTGTAACACTTACACATGTATAATTAAATTGTAATAAGAATTCAAATTCATCTCGAAAATCTTTATACTATATATACTATATTACTACTAATTATTAAAAGCTTTATACTATTATATTAGTATATAAGTAACTCTATTGCTTATTTCTTGGTTTATTTATAGTATAAAAATTAATATAATCCTTATAGACTCGAAAAAAAGACTTCAAAAGGGAGAAGGGAAAGGGGATTGAAAATATATCAAACTATTATTGTCTCAGGTTAAAGTTTTTAATAAAACTTTTGAAATCTAACAATTTCATTAAGACCTTATTAATTAGAGTAAACTTTATCATATATAATAAAGAAGTTTAATTAGATTAATAAAATAGAAACAATTTATTCCATATAGTATTAAAGTATTAAAGATTTTATTGTATCAACAAAGCGATTACTTCGTTAAGTACGGAATCTGTCACCATAGGGGATGTGATATTAAGTTAATGGACAGACAACATGCGAGACAGAAATTGAAGCTCTCAAATTGGGCGATCATTCAAAGCCATATCATGTATTAAGATGTATAGCTAATTGATCAGTACATAGTCAAATTGTGATGTACGAAAGTCATCTATCCAAGATTCATGACATAAAGTTCGATCAAACTATTCTCTTGGCATGCGTTTTCTAATGAGAATGACTTATCGACCTCCTGTACCATAAGCACTTGTAGCCTTACTGACTTGTGATCGTAAGACCAACGTCAAAGCCGAGTCGTGATTGGCAAACACTGCTCTGATCCATGTGAGGGAGTCATTGATCAATGGGTGGGAAGCAGCCAAGGGAGACTTGATCGATATATATTGCCCTCCCCCACCCGCCGGACTTTGTACCATCAATATCATTTTCGCAAATCTAATCTGTCTTGAAGCTACTAGCATTTGACTTGCACTTTGATATCTCTTCAGCGCATAAATTTAGGGGCACAATTTCAGAGTAGAAAACAGGAAATAAACACTAGAATAACAGACATGCCACCAGTGCGAAGAAGAAGGACGCCCCGCGAAAAACTACTTGCCTACAACCAAAAAAATGCAGAGGTACCCCACTCCAGTCATCCAATACACAACAGACCTAACCAACACAGAATCCCACCCTAATCTACAAAGGAGAACGCTGTCCCGACGCGAAAATATGCGTCTCATCGCACGTCATGTGGATCCGCGGAGAAAACAATTTTGCCGATGCAGTTGTGGTTTCTGGTCCTAATCTCGCCGGGGAAAGCCAGCGCGAGAGAATCGTAGTTGCTGAGAACGCGACGAGTCGGTACCATTGGCACACGTACTTTGTGCGATATATGCATTATGGGGAGACGCAATCGCGTGTTTCGGATAGGCCGGTGGCGGAGGCGGATTTGGTTGAGAGGGCGTATCCTAATCCGATTGTGGATCGGACAGGCTCAACGAACACTTGATAGTGTGTCAGATAGATTGATGCAACCTAACCGTAAATAATTTATTGTCAAGTGAATATCATGCGAGGACGAATATATGAATGTCCGGTATTCGAGTCGTATCTGGAGGTGATGTGAGGTGGATATTTATTAACTTGAAGAGAGTTTCAAGGAATCCACAAGTCAAATACATTGGTATTGTTGCCAACGACGTGATGGCAATTTTGAGAACCATGAGGAGATCTTTAGCAACGGTCACGACTGTGTGAAGGTGAATCATGATGATATTGCTCCCAATAAATTTTCTGTAACCGTCATTCAGGGATGGTTGTATGCCCGGCGTTGAAGTAATATGCATGCACAGCACCATTATCAGTTGCCTGGGAGCGAGTCAATTTTTAATTATCGTGAGCTTCGATCATTTTGAAAACGAGCTAGCAAAACGAGTTACACCAGCACAGACACAAAGATGGGATAATGTTCATTCCACACGATATGATAATGTATACATCCGTGTGGATTGCAACATATTTGTGTAATCTTCCTTTGATGTTATCGAGATGCTATTTACATAGCCTCATCTGTTCGAGGCCAATATTTGCTCTCAATTCACCACGAAATCATAGGCTCATAGTGACTCATAAGCAACGATGACTCCCAACCTCCTCAGAAATCAGCCATACTTGTCTTTAAGTCCAGAAATTTCACATAACAATTGAAGTACAAACAATAAATCAAATCTTCACTCAAAACAATAAGTTGAGTACTCGACTTTCTGGCCACCCCTGTTTTGAGCCACCTTTCACCACCAAAATTAGCAAAAAAACTTTTTTATTTATGAATAGAATTTATTGAAAATATATATATATATATAATTCAGACGATTTTAAGCTTATGCTGCAAATTTCAGATTTTTAGGATTTTTCTGGGTGGAGATCTAAATCTTCAAAATGTTGATTTTTTAATTTGTATAGGAATTACATATAAATTTTACTTTTTTAAAAAATCTTTAATAACTTTTTATTAAAAATTATTAAAAATAAATTATAAATTTTTATTATACATTTATATTATTCATAATATAAAAGATTCAAAAAATTAGAAAATTTCCAATTAATAACTATTTATAAGAGTATTTTCGAAATTGTAGGGATTATTTTTCCCTACTTAAGTTATATCTTTACAACTATCAATTCAAGTTTAAAACCTTCAAAAAAATAATCAATTTCTTTTTATAAATCATGATTAAAAAGTTATTAAAGATTTAAAATTGATTTCAAATGTATATGTAATTCTCATATAAATTAAAAAAATCAATATTTTAAAGCTTCAGATCTCCATCCAGAAAAATCCTAAAAATCTGAAATTTTCAGCATAAGCCTAAAATGATCTGATTTATATATACATAAATTTTCAATAGATTCTATTCATAAATAAAAAAGATATTAATAAGCTAAAAAAGCGATTTTTGGTGTAAACGAATGGCTCAAAAGAGGGGTGGCCAGAAAGTAGGGTACCCGACTTAACTCAAGTCTCAAAACACTCAATATGAGTACCTCACCACCACGCGAGGTCGACGTAACCATGGAGAAGAAAGATCCTGGGCGTGAAGTAACTATCTTTCTCGACTCTAACTCATTATTGCCAATAAGACCCGATGGTATCACGGACGAACAATTCAAGCAAAGATGTCCGGATGAAAAAACCGAACACTTCCTGCAATAACTCCGTGGAATCAAGGATAGGAAGTCATCAGAACACATTATGATCCCCGCAAGTAAGTTCAAGGAGCCAAATTTGATAAATGAGCACCGTACTGATACAAATCCAGTCGAGCGGCATGCTGAGGGTTATCCTCAGCTCGCGGCGGTCATCAATAGTGATGAACAATCCATGATTTATCGACGTTTTGGCTTTTTGCAAACACGGCTTCTGCTCAATAAACAAGAGGAAATGCGAGTGTTGGAAGATCGGCTCTACCATATAGATCGGTATTATGGAAGGAACGAGCCAGCAAGGCTTCGTTCTCATGATACTTGCAATGCTATAGATGATGATCACAAGAATATTGTGGTCGAAATTGAAAAGAAATACAATGAATATGGTAAGTATTATTTGATCTTCAATGGAAGAATTGATTTGATAATTGTTCTACTTTAGCTCAGCTTTTGACGCATGCTCGAACCCTAGCAAGATTTGATAAACCCAGGGCAGCGGATTATCTGCAATTAAAGGCCTACTTCAAAAGGAAAGCGCCTCTCTGTGGCGACAAGCAGCAATAGATCTTGCAACAAGATGACCTAATCACTCTCAAGCCTACTAGAGATAACACTTGATTGGATACGCTTATTGAACAGATACCGCCACGCTTTCCATGCTGCTTGACGCGTGAGTTGACTTGTATCGCTGATGTGTGGAACTTTACTGACACCTTGATATAGCATATATTCTGTACTACAGTTCGTCTTACAATTGAGAAATTGATGCAAAATAAAACGAGACACTTGCTAATCACCCTTTCAATCAGGAATTACGACAGAAAACAAACCCCGAGACTACGAAAATCTTCCTCTCCGACCCTGATCGCGTCGATGCAATAGCTTCACTTGTTCTCCTGTCCACAGTCCTTGCACTTTTCGTCATACCGATTTGCATTCTTTGGTATCTGTGCTAAATGTTAGTTCCAAACTCCGCCAACATTGCTATGATCCTGGCCATTCTCCTGCCCTTTACCTTCATCTTCTCTGCAGTTATATCGCTCTTTACCCGCGCGAAACGTCACGAGGTTCTAGCTGCAGCCGCTGCGTAAGTTATATCTCCCCTGCTTTGATAATCCATACGTTAAAAAATGTAGATATTGTGCTGTTCTTGTCTTGTCTTATCTGTTGAGAATATTGAAATTGTAGGAGAGATACTCCTGACAAGTTAAGGGTGGTCTTGTGGGAGAATGAATGGAAACATGATTCAGGGAACGACAGGATGATATTTTGCGTGTGTTTTGCATGGTTTTAGCTTCTTAGAACGAGCAATAAAATGAATGATTCGTCATCAATAGTCTTATTATTAGTAAATCCTCTTACTGAGAGTAACTTGTCAATGTTTGAGAGCTTGAGAAAGTATTAGCACGCCGAGCTTTCAAAAGGACCTTTTTGTATACTACAAGTATCTGATAGTCCGGACCACAGTTCAACATCCAATACCTAATGGACATTGAGATCATTTCAAATTTTGAAATAATTTTGGATATTGAATGCATTTTAGATATTGGAATTATCTTGAATATTAAATTATTAAGTGTTGAAAGTATCTCAAATGATGATATCATATCATATATCGGGTACCGAAATTATTTTAATCACTAAATTGACTCTAAACAACAACTATACGGAATTGATAAACCCACACATCAGAAACCAAAGCTCCACATGAAAGCGACAGAATATTCACCAATAGCAATAAATTTCAAATCCGAAAGATATGTTTGATGTTTCCATACATCAGATCGTCAATTAAGATCATAGGGGTTTAGCGAGCTTGGAAATGTGTGACTGGTGATGATTCGAATGAGACGTGAAAGCAAACTTCTGTCAGTCAGCGAATTGGTATTGATGAGATGAATATGTGGGAATGATAAGGGTTAAGTATGTGTGATGGCGTGAAATCTTAATATGATAGCGGATGTGTTTCGGGGATGAGTAGGCAATGGATGTCGCAAAAATTGAAAGAATCTATTCATCTTATCAATTCCATAATTTTTCACTCCAGCCCGGAGAAGATTCTTGCTTTGAAGAAATCGAGGTCTCAGAACATCTAGAAGTCACTAGCTTCCATGTTCATTTTGAATGAATACCTTTTTTATTATGATTCATAACCTTCATATTTATTCACAAGTGCTGGACATGATACTTTGAAGATACAGATTGAACGTCAAACTCTGAAAACTGCATGACTCCTAAGAGTTTAATCTTCTTCATCCACATATAAAAGCAAGGTCAACGTACCCAAGTTTAAGGATCTCATTCACATCCACTCAACAGATTTCTAGACACTCGTGGATCGATATCAGAAGTGTAGAGCTTTCTACTGTCTCCATACAGATTCTTCGACCAGTAATATCTTTGCGGGCCTCATAGTACATAGAATTAGATAGACTGTGACAGTTTAATACGATCTTGATATCCAAGAAAGTGGTCATTCAGCCCATAACTTGGAGCTTAATCTCCCCCTCCCATAGTCTCTAATCGTCAAAGAAGAATTCATAGGGTTTATTGCCAAAAATAATACCACAATGAAGAAGTTTTTCCGTTCCGATTGCTGTAGGCCCTCTAATAGTGGGGATATCGATTTACCAAACGTAGAAGCTGCCTCAACCCAATTCAAAACGGACACATGACTGACGATTTTTAGCGCCCTTCTGCTCCGTCATATCGGCCAGGAGATAGGGTTATGATCAGAGAGGAGACACTATGCAGAGTTGTGAGCAATGGGGTGAAAAATAGCGAACAAATAGTAAATGGTTCTTCCGTAGTGGATATCAGATTTACGTATCGAGTTAGATTGATTGATGGAACAGAACAGAGAGTTCACGAGCCGCACTTGCGAATGGCAAACGACAACGATGCCGGTCCGTTCCCGGATATGCTCTGACCAAGCCAAAACCAGTCTCGGCCTTTAGCACAATAGCAAACAATGATGCTTGGGTTTCTGGTTTTCCGTAGTACTTAGATGGCTTATGACCAATAGATATCGTTGACTTTACCGAACCATGCACAAACCCGTGAACAAGTCAATGTATTGGACAGACATGTCCTAGTATTGTATGACATGCCTTAGCGATGATAGTACAAGCCTTGAAAATACGAGGTACACGCATTGTGGCTTCGGGTGCTTATTCGAAGATTGCACCGTTGAAAGGTCTACTATTAAAACCAGCCTTCCTCGCACCTCGTCAAAAACTCGAACGTTTTCTCCCCAGTACAGATACTTCAACGATGTCGGTTGATATCAATGATCAAGACTCAATGGAGAAAGGTGAAGCCACGAGTCAATTCGATGATTTTTGTTCGCCTGCTAGCCTGGACCCGGTAAGCTTGCTGCCGATTAAGCCTGATGGTATGACACAGGAGGAATTTGAGCGTACAAAACCTGATCAAAAGACGGAGCGATATTTGGCTTATCTTCGAGGATTAAAGAAGAGAAAGCCGCCGGCGGAATTCACGTCGCATATCAGTAAGCTTAGCGGTATATCATAGCTATGGCCCAGGGCTGATCATATGCCTAGTCGACTTGCGTCCTGATGGATACCCTCGATTGGCAGAGGTAATTGCCTGTAAAGAGGAATTTATGATGTACCGGAGGTTCGGCCATTTACAAGCACGACTTCTCCTCGACAAGCAAGACGAATTGCGAGCTCTTGAATTGCAACTAGCTCATCTGGATGAGTTATTCGAAACTAAGTATCCTGATCGAAATTACTCTCGCGAGAGAGCCCACGCTGAGAGTGAGGATTATAAAAATCTTCTTGCTATGATGCAGAGAAATATGAAGGAGTACGGTAAGCCATATCCATCGCTACACCTGAAACAAATGTAACTGATATTCGGCGATTTATTGTAGCTGAAATGTTAACTTTCGCACAAACATTCGCGAACTTCGATCGACCAATGACAAGCGATTACCTTCGGGTCAAGAATTACCTTGACTACAAAGTGTGTCTGTGTGCGCGAGATCAAGATTACATAGCCAAGCGGGACGACCTCATCACCCTCAAGCCTGGTCGAGAAAACACATGGTTAGATACGAAAATCGAAGGAATACCACAGCTCCTACCTTGTAAAGCGACCAGAGTGAGTATTACCAGCGGATATATATGAGTACTTAGACCACTGACTTGCATTGCAGTATATATTCTCTACCACGGTTTGACCTGCGGCATAATCATGGTGACGAACTCTACTGACCTCTCAGCCAGGAACTTCAACAAAAAACAGATTCAAAAGATTCAAATATCATTCTCTCAAGTCCCGAGCGCGTCAACGTGGTGGTTACATTGATAATACTGGCGGCCGTCTTAGTGCTGTTGATCGTGCCAGTTTTTCTACTGTGGTTTATAAGTAATCTCAACACTTCAAGACCACTCATTGGGGTCCTCATAGCGTTGCTTCTGATTTTCACACTAATGTTTTCGGGTGTATTGTCGGCTTTCACTCGAGCGAAACGACATGAAATCATTGCCGCTGCCGCTGCGTAAATATTTCCATTGACGTGTCAGTGTATACACTAACGAATCATAGTTACTGCGCGGTGCTTGTGGTGTTTGTCGGAAATGTTGGACAAATCAGTTCCTGAGATATCTTAAAGCCTGCGAGAAAATCATCGTGCTGAGGTTTTGACAGAAAGCTTTGGTGTGGCGTAGGGTCTCTTTCCTAGACTAAACCGTATGATTATATAGTAACATGAAAGTGTGAGAATGACTGCACGATGTATGTTGGGACAATCATACTTCAAATATTGTGATAGAACCAGACAATAGACCAGTACTTATATAGTAATGGCTCGAATTTAATATCAAAACCAGACAATTGATCCTCTGTATGTGCACTCCCAGGCTCTTCTGATGCTTAGATGGTAATATGATGCAAAGGTTGTGTTAGAGCCAGACAATGAACCCTCTATGCCTGCACTCCCACTGCCACTTGTACAATGTGTACAACGCGCACTCCCCATGATACTAGGTAGTTGGAGCTCCGGGGATTGTACGGGATCTCGTGCTATTTTGAAGGGGTTGGGAACAGAGGAGCTTGAATTTAGTAAAGGATGATAATAATGAATGAGTGTCTGTTTGTTGCAAGTACATGGGACCCGAAAATGAAGAATTTTATCGCCATGTGTCATATGATGTGCTGAATGAGTGAAAAAACTCTCAGCGTCTTTTAAATTTCCGAGTACGCCGATTGACTGCTTCAGACTTTGCATCAGTGTTTGTGCTCAGACAAATCAAGGGAATTTGTCGGCAAAGTGAGATAGATCTCAATGACTTGGACCTTGGTGAATAGATGACGGAGGTCGGCAAGTCGCATGCTTTGACAGTGAGGTTGAAGATATGACGGCCAAAGTGATTTGTGAAGTTGTTTCTGATGAACCTATGAGTGGGCTGAGCTGAGAGAGCACTACGCACGTCTCCCGCAGACCGAAGAAAGAAGAACCGGGATGCCTAAAATATAAGGTTACAATCTTTTCAATAGTTTGATATCAATTCAGATACCTAGGTAGGTACCTAGGTAGTAATCATTATCATGAATCAAGAAGTAGATCCACGTGATTGGCGTCTAGTCTTTTTTTTGGCTATTTATCTATATATTCTATGAGATTTTTACGTCAAGATGGATGATTGATAAAATGGGTTCAATATGATTCCATTTGAGTGATTAAATGATTGGATGAGTGATTGAATGATTGGATGAGTGATCGAATGCCGCCTTTCTCGCCCGTCCACATCAGAGAGCATTGGGCACGTGTGTATGAAATGAGCTAATCCCAAAGAGAATTGGTTCGGATCTTCACCAAGGGTTCTCCATCATCATCATCATCATCATCTTCTCGGTTCGACGAAGAATCAAAGATCAAAGATTCACCAGAACCCCGAGAAGTCCATCATCGAAGATACGAATTCACGGATGTACCTCAGGATGTCCTCCTTGGGACTAGGATGTATACTCTGCAAAGGGATAATCCTCGAAAAGAATGGACCCCATTTAGTGGAAAAGATATGCCACATGATGGAATTGGCCGTATTGGAACTACTGCTTCTATACAGCCAGAATGCCGTTCGATCAATGACAGTGCAGCAAGTCAAATCGGTCATCTCAAGCTTTTTAGAGTGTCGGATAATTTTGCACATTTCTCAATGAATGTCAAAGGACAAAAGGACGAAAACTTTGTCCATTTGAAATTCAATCTCAAATCCTTCGGTATCATCTCTGGATTCTGGATTCTGGATGCTTCTTGGACTTCCAAACTATCAGGTTGAGCCTTCCTCTAGTAAGGTAATCATAAATGATTTCCGTTCTCGATCGAACTAATCGTTGATTAACGAACAATGAATCTCGATGTTGCTTCCTCATCGTGAAGAAGTATACACGATCAACTTGAAGGCACAGCCCCAAGGGATATGTAAAGAAACAAATTGAGAAGCATTCGACAAAAGTCATGTGACCCAAAGAATTTCATCACAGCCTGCTGAGTTCAGGCTCTCTTTCAAGACTAATGTTCCTCGGAAGTGCTTACCGAACGCCAAGACCATCTATATCGAAAGTTCATATTTATGGTTGAGCTTAGGATTATCCAATCCGGCAGACGCCAGAAGCCGCAAGGAGTATTAGCCTTGGTATACTAGATATGTTTCAAAGAAAGGGGACCGATCATACTATACCGACCCTACATCCATCGAAATTAAGGACATCATTCACACTACAAAACTGTCCGATTGATATGTGCCAAAATAGAGACTACACAGACTACATGCAATCTCCGATAGGTGTGCATACACGGGTGTTGATGCCTTTCAAGCTCTAGTATCAAAGCAACTTCTAGATACTATGGTTGCTATTGTCCAAAACTTTGACCACACACAACAAACACATGGCTTGTTGCGGCGCGGCTACGAAATTTGTTCCTCACACTAAGCTCCATTAATCATAATATGTTTATAGACTAACGCTAGTACCCGAAGAGGCGAGAAGGAAATCCTTTTTAAGCTTTTTTCGTCCAAAAATGAACATTGGTCCGCACGGGAAAGCATCTGGTACCTGCATTGAGAGAGTTCAAAGCGGTGGGTACCTTACTGAGTGCACCGGGCGTTCCCAAGGATTAACGACACTAAAGTTTTTAGCATGAGCACTAATTCCTCAAAGCGTCTTTTATCACACTCATCGCTTATTTGCCAGTGAGTTACACATTCTTTTGATTGCGGGAACATTTGTCAAATTGGCAGCTCGACGTAGTTGAGGAAAATCCAAGCGATTCTAGCATCAGAGAACTAGGCGATGAAGAATCCAGATGAACGGGTACTATCTAGCTGACTTGAAAATTCTTTCTTCGGTTTCTCATTTCCTTCCATGAGCTAGTCGCCTGAGAGCTTGCCTCTCTTCTACGATGAAGCCTACTTTGCACTCACTAGTTTACATTCTTCGTTACTCGAGGGTCCTCCCTATACTTCAATTAAATCATATATCTAGGTTGATCTTTCCCTCTACTTTCTTTTTCTCATCATCCAACATTCACAATCATTCCTTACACTCTTCTTTCTTCACATCGCTCCCATTGTTTAAAATGCATTCTTCCGCACTCCTTATTGCAGGCTTTGCAGCTCTTGCTGTAGCCAAACCAGCTCCTCAAAACATCAATTTTGACGCCATCAATGCTATTGCTCTTCCAACTATCACTGGTCCAGCCCCAACTGCCACCAAAGAATCTATAGTCATCGACCACGCTGCTGCTTCCGCTTCAGGATCTGCTAAGGCTACCGGTCTTGCTACTGCTTCAGCAACTGCTTCGCAAAATGTCAAACGTACCTACTGGGGTTACGGTGGAAATGGTGGATGGGGAGGAAATGGTGGATGGAGTAATGGAGGAAGTGGTGGAAGTGGTGGATGGGGTAATGGAGGGAGTGGAGAAGCCGCCAGCACAACTGCTAAGAGCACTCCCACCTCAACTACAACCCAAAACAGTGTTCCTACTTCTTCTACGGCTGCTGTACCAGAAACCACCCCAGATGTCAGCAAAGCATGCGCAATTCAACCAGATGGTTATGGACCAAAGGTCCAACCAGATACCGTTGATGCTTTCCTCGCTTATACTCAATTTCACACTGACGCCAAGAATGCCGCCACTCCCTCCGGTTACACTCAATCCTTCGTTGATCTCAACGCTGCAGTAACTGCTGTCACCTATCTCGGACTCACCACCTTCACCAGCTACGATGTCGCTCAGTGCGGTACCCTCTGTGACAGCACCTCCCTCTGCACAGGTTTCAACATCTACGTTGAGCGTGATCCTTACATGAATCCATCTGATGACTGCCCAAACCCAGCCTCCATCACCAACTACAAGTGTACTCTCTGGGGCTCCGGCGTCTCTACTGAATCCGCCACCAACACCGGTCAAATGCGCACTGATTTCCAAGTCGTCATCACCGGTTCCAACGGATACTCCAAGACCGTCACTCCCGCACCACAGCCAGGCTGGAAGCCAGCTCAACAATGCGGTGGTGGAAGCATGGGACACTCTCACCCAAGCACCTGCTTGGGACAAGCCTTCTTCCCCGGTCCATACAACCCCGCTGTCTGCTCCGGCTATGCTACGGCCCAGAACGCTAAGAATCTTTCCCTCATCTCCTGGTGGATGCAAATGATCTACAAGTTCTTGAACTACTCTCCATTCCAATGCAAATTCTTCAACTCCTACATGTTGAAGAAGAATGGAAAGCCAATGGGTACCTACTGCGCCTTGTTCGCTCAATCCTACTCCAGCAACCAGGCTACCTATAACCCTGGTCAACATGGTTCCGATAGCTGGACTTGCGAGAGCTCGTACAGTTATACTCTTAACTAAATATGGAATTGATAGCTGGGAATGGGAGAGGATAATGAGAGATGGCGAGATGGCGAGATGGTGAGAAGTATTAAAAAGGAGGATAGGATAAAATGAGACGGAATGGGATTGGATAGGATGGATCGGATGAGGTCGGATGGAACACAAAGCAAAGAGGACTTTTTTAATGCGCTAATGTCTCACCTGAGACGAAAATTTCTTGTCACTCCTTTATGTATAATTTTTAGCCGATAACGGCGCATGATTTTCGGATCATATTTTGTCAAATGCAATATATAATGGATTTTCTGAATAACTTCTTATCTTATCTTCTCTTGTGATTGATTTATTGATCGATACGTGATTTGCAAATTGTAACGAAATTAAAGTGTCAAGAAATTAAAAACTCATTTCGAATGTAATCTACTTTTTTGGAGTTTACACATCTTTCTCTGCGAGATTTCTATCGATAGAGTGATCTATTGCGTGATACTTTATCATCTCATCACAGTCATCTATCCAACTAGCCTATCCTATTCATCCCCCTCTACTCGCTAAACCCCTTCGCTAGCTTTATTACAGAAGGTAGGCGTACATATACATATCCATCCACTGACTTACAACCACCATCCCAGTTCCCAGGTTCCTTCACATACATACAAAATCTCCCCAGTAATCTCACTTCTCAAACAAATAAACAAAGTCGTCACTTGACATAACTTGACATGTAGAAAAATTTAGATAAGAAGGATGGGGGCTTTTGATTTCATTTCATTTCATTTCATTCTCATTCTTATGTATACCTCACATACATACTATATGCATCAGACTTCCCCTCTAGAAAAGGGAAGGGGGGCACGGGGGGGATAAGGATTTAAATCTTGCGGATAGATCTTGAGATGGAATCTTAGGGTGAGGGTTTGAGAACACTGGATTTAGGAACATTGATTGGAGTTGTGGAATAAATGAATGGATTGAAAGCTTTTTGATTCGTTTAATTGAGAATTGGGAAGGTTGAAAATTTGTTCATGTGGCAATTCTCAGTTTTAGGGCGCACCAGTGGATGTACAGACTGACGGGACAATCCAAAAATGGACTCGTAGGTATCTCTTGATATATTCAATTTTATATTTTAAGAATTATTGTAATTGTTCATTCGAAATGAAACAATCAAAGAATAAATTCTAATATCAAACAATTGAAGAATGAATTTGTCAAAATTTTTGAAAGTTGGGAAGTGTCCCGTCAATCTATGCACCCACTAGTGGGCGATTGACTTGTCAAAAGAAACATCAATGCACATTGAGGACATATCACTGATAAAACCACAACTATATACCCCAGAACGTCTACTCTCAAAATTAACCTCACTCTATGCATACACGACTCTAAAAGATCCACCTCAAAACCCTCTCCACCTTCCCCCTCGCCGTCCTCTCCCTCTCCCTCTCCTTCTCATCCTCCTCCCCGGCAACATGCACATCAGTCTGCAAATCCATCTCCTCGTACCCCACCACCTTCGTCCCCTTCCACCACTTCCAGCCCAACCACATCACCGCCATAATCGGCAGCTCAATGTAGAAGCTCACAAAATCCACCGCGCTAAAAGTCGGACTGAAGCAACTCCATCCCTGCACTAGCACAATCACCACATTAGCAAGCACACAGATCCACGGTCCCCACGGATACGTCCAATTTTTATATGGTAAGAGATGTGTTTTTCCCTGCAGTTCTAATGCCCCGCGGAACCGAATCGAGGTTACGCCGATAGCGATCCAGGCTAGTTGATTACTGACCCCTACGAGATTCTGCAGCCAGGTCCATAATTGTCCCGCGCCGATAAAACTAGCTCCGAAACAGAGACCGCTGATGGCGCTCGTAGCTAGGACTGCGACCCAGGGGACTTTGTTGCGGTTGAGTTTCCCAAAGAATTGGGGCGCGTGTCGATCGACGGAAAGGGTGTAGAGAAGTCGTGTTCCGGCGAAGAGGGCATGGTTACCTGCTGAGATGACGGAGGTGAGGATGACAGCGTTCATGAAGGAGCCTGCGGCTTTGGCGCCGACTTTTTGGAATACGAGGGTAAATGGGGAGGTGGTGGTTGTTTTGCTAGAGAGTCCAGGATAGTTGTAGGGGATGTTGAGACCGATGAGGAAGACGGATAGGATGTAGAAGATTAGGATTCGCCAGAAGACGTTTTTCACTACGCGAGGGAGGTTTTTGGTGGGGTTTTTGGTTTCACCGGCGGTTATGGCGATAGATTCGGTGCCGCCGTCTGGAGAGGAATTAGTTTGGGGGAAGGGTTGTCTGGGAAAGGGGTTACTGACATGCGAAAGATGCGGTTACGAAGACGGATGCAAATCCACCGATTCCTCCTACGAAGGGTGCGTCGCCAATATACCAATAGTGGGCTCCGAGATATGTATGAGAAGTATTACCTCCACAATTGACTACAATTCCTAGAATTATGAAGATCTGGAGAAGTGTCAGCACTCTTCGATAAAACCGAAAGCTCCGAAGCACTGAAAACATGTTTTTCTTTCATATCCACCATCAAATAAAACAATCATTACTTTTGAATATTAAACATAAACACTCAAAAGCTTTAGATTTATTGATCCCTTTCAACTTTGAATGGGTATCAAAAGCTGGATTGATATCATTATTCAAGCAGTAACCTTGTATAACATTCTCATTCATGTCTCGTTTTATTCGAGAGAATTGGGATACCAGCTGTTCGTCCAGATGAACACACTTGAACCTATGAAATCAAGAAAAACGAAAATCACATACCGTAATAGTAACCACTTTCAACAAACTCAACCAATACTCAAGCTACCACCCACCCAGTCAGCATCTATCCATCAATCCCATCCCAAAATCCCAAACTCACCTCTCCATAAGCCTTAACCGTAATAATATTAGCCAAAACCAACAACGCCCAAAAAATCAACGCCAATCCCCAACCCGGCAATCCAGTATCTCCCCAATACGCCCAAACCAACTGCAGCGCGACCAAATCCGATGCCGTGCTGACCGCATCATTAAACCAATAATTCCACGTCAGAGCAAACCCCAATCCATCATCTACATATCTACCTGCAAAAGTACAGAAACTTCCCGCAATGGGAACAAATGCAGCCATTTCCCCCAAAGAAAGCATCGTTAGCATAACGATAAACCCAACGATGAGATACGCGATGAGAATTGATGCCGGACCACCTGTCGCGAGTGATTTTCCCGTGCCGAGAAAGAGACCTGTGCCGATTGTGCCGCCGATGGCTATCATCTGTACTTGACGGGCTGAGAGGGAACGAGCGAGTTTATCTGCGATGATGGGACGCTCGTGGTCGTCATGGTGAAGATGGTTTGCTTCGGCGTCTTTGGTGTGGTCGATCACGTGGATATTATCATTTTTTGACTGGTGACGAGAATTTGACATCTTGAGACGAGGGTAGAGAATGTCGATCTCTTATTTCATCTGTGCTGTCAAGAATGAGTGTAGTAGAAGAAAATGATGCGTATGCAGGAAGATAAGAATATGCAGGTGATTTTCTCCATGATTTTGAAATACTCTCGAAGAAATAAGTAACCCCCGATGACGAATAATTGACAGAAAAATTCGTGATGCAAATGGCGTGCTTGATTTAGTCTGAGAAGAGATTTAATTCGTTCGCGGTATTACGTACGAATTATAAGGTTTTGCACGTTCAGGTTGGTTGAAGGATGGCGGGGTACAGGGGGTTTGCTCCCCGCAGCCCCGCTTAGCGAGATGCAATTTTGTGTATGTGTTGTGGCAGGGTTTTGGATATGAATTTGAATTGACGTTAAAGTTCAAATGTTTAGATGATTTTTAAGCTTCTAGAAGTGAAAAAGAAGGAATGGTGGTGTAGATCATGATGATTAATAGTATAGTACAGAAAATGTGTAATAATCATTGATTGGCTACTAAGCCAAACCAAAGACCTGGTGGACTAATTACTTGGAGTAGTTAGAGAGATGAACCTATGAATCAGTCTGTAGAACGTCGAAATTATGTACTTGAAATATGTATATAAGAAATCCAGCAAAACTCGAAGCGTCAGTATTCAAAACTCGGCAATTGCAGTACATAGGAGAACGTCGCGAGTTATAGGGGTATCATTAAAGAAATAAAATCACAGAACCACAAACCTCTATAACTTTATCAGGCTACGAGATTTCATTCCAAGATTTCGAATAATTAGTCATAGTATCCAGATAAAGCTACACCAAATTAACACATAGATTTTCTAGTCCTAAAAGACATTCATATATCTCCTTCAAGTCATCCGCCTAGCCAACCATAGATACTCCAATCAGAAACCAACCAGTCAGAGCCAAGGAAATTCGAAAGAGAAGGAGATCAATAAGAATGATACGATTACCCCCCATCACGTTGAAAGAGTGTACCCCCTCGAAGCCTTGACCTATTCCTCCTCCTCATTAGCAATAATGTAAAGATCAACTGGCGCAACAATGAGTGAACTTGTCGTTGCGCCATTTCCAATAGCGAGTTCGGTTTGTCCGTCATTGTTTGCTATTACTGTGTTAGTATATTTCTTCTCATACAAATGTCTCGGCATAGTACCTAGAGACCCGGAAAGTGATAACATACCATTTATGAGGTAAAATTTCTCATAAACATTGCCATTAGCCGTACACGCCACCTTCAAATTGCCATCTATGCTACAAACCAAAGGCCAAGCAGGAACTACACATCCTGTAAAACCAACTGGAGCAACCTTAATGGATGGAGGCGAATACGATGCTGTAGCCCATAGGATATATAGACCCGATGTCAAGTATCCGGTAGCAGGATCATACGTGAATGGGAAAACTGATTGACCATAAGGCAAATTAAAGCCAGCAAAATATTCCGCAGCTTGTTGAATCATAAGACTCGTGCCATCAGCTAAGGTTCCAGAATTTTGAGCCTGGATAAAGAAGCTTGAAGGCACTGTCTGAGATGGGCTTGGAGTTGCGATAGTCGAAGAAGTTACGGATGGGGAATCACCTGGTGATACTATGTTGGATACGAGGGATAATGGGATATTTAGAACACATATGTTGACACCAACTTGAGGTCCTTGTCCCATACATCTCAAGCTTGGGTTGAGAAGAGCTAGAACAACTACATTCAAGCCGGGAATGCCAGGACGAGCGGCAATGCTGGCACATTTGTCACCGGGTCTGGTGGTGTAGTATTGACAGCAGTCGGCTGCGGTTGATGCGAGGGTATTAGGCGGGGCTGGGACCGGTCTACAAGCGCTGGCGGTAGCTGCGAAAGCTGTGGATGAGCGTGTTGAGCTTGTGCTAATCGTGGCGGCAATTGGTCTTGTGCTAGATGATGAGGTGGATACTCTTGTTGAGCTAGTGCTCAATCCTTGACCCTAATATTTATATCAATATCATCATAGATTTAAAGAAGACGGGTTAAAATTAGAGGAAAAAACCACTGACCGCAGCGGATGTTGACAAAGATCTAGAAGTGGAACTGGAAGTACCAACAAGTTGTGCTGTCGAGCTGGTACTTAAAGTAGGTGCTCTGGTTGAGCTGGAAGTAGAAATGGACGTTCCGGCCACAAGCTGTGCTGTAGAAACAGAGGTTGAAGTATTTGCTCGTGTTGAACTAGTACTTAATTCCTGGCCCTGTAAGGAAATTAACATTCACCCTCAAAAGCAAATGAAAGACAAAATTTGAACATTATAGGACTTACCACAGCGGTGGACGAAGAAGATCTAGAAGTAAACTGGATGCTCCGATAAGCTGTGCAATTGAACTGGTGCTTAGTGTGGCTGCTCTTGTAGAACTGGTGCTCAATCCTTGGCCCTATTTATCTATTTTAGAACTTGCCATACCAATAACTGGAGTGATACATACAACAGGGGATGACGAGGAAGATCTAGAGTTAGATGATGATCTAGAAGTAGAACTAGAAGTTCCAACAAGGCCCTATACTAATTAGCACGTATCGCGTTGACAAAAGAATGTAGGACTTACCACAGCTGTTGAACTCCTCGAAGTTGCTGATCCTTGGTACTGCCCCAGCCCACAGGTTCCAAAAGCAGGGTTGCAACCCCCCGTGCACCATTCAGCTTCACGGCCACAGAATCCAAATCTCGAACAACAATTCCCATTAGGACTTCCTTGGCACGTGTATAAGGAATCAGATTGAGGTCCACATCTTCCATTGGGTGATACTAATAAACCAGAGGCGACACTCGTAGTTGGGCGAATGGAGCTGGTGGATGAAGTTGTGGAGGACGAGAAAAGGGTGGTGGATCTTGAGGTACTAGTAGTAGCACCAAGGCCCTTTTGATAGTGTTAGTATTATGTATAGAGAAATATGTGAGGTAAATATGCAGGACTTACCAATTGGGTAGAAGACGAGGTGCGTGAACTGGAAGAAGACGACTATAGAACATATTAATACATATCGACAGAATTAAACAGTAAGGGAAAATAGAAGTTACCCGGCTAGTACTGGAGCTAACGACAGCCAAAAGGGTTGAAGAAATACTACTTGAGGTAGATGACTAGATAAATAGTTAAAACTCATCGAACTTTTCAAACAAGAAAGGAATATGTACCTGAGATGAAGTAGAACTTGCGCCCAGGCCTACGGCTGAAGTAGAGCTACGAGAAGAGGAAGAGGAAGATGATGTCTACAAACCTTAGCATTTGTGTGGTGATATTAGTGATATTGAGAGAAAATTGGAAATCATTCTTACCCTAGTCGAGGTGGAGCTTGCCACAATGCCTACGGCTGAGGTACTTTGAGAAGACGAGGATGATGACTAAACAGATGTAAGTATTTTTTAAAAAAAGAATTGTACTATGTTATGGATATTATGGGAGTGATTATTACCCGAGATGTAGTAGAGCTAGCCTCAAGGCCGATGGCCGAGGCAGAAGTGCGGGATGAAGATGGCGACTATCAGCTTGTTAGTATCCTTCAACTCCAAGGGATACAAGAAAAAATCATACGGAGCTAGTACTGGAACGGAGCGAAGAACTTGTGGACAAGGCATCCACTCGTTTTGATGACTGTTTAAAATTAGCTTCCGTTGTTATCGATAGGATAAAATGAGAAATCATACGGAACTGGAGCCAGATGGTGATCCAAGTCCTTGAGTAGAACCACGCGAAGAGGTCGGTGATGAACTACCTGCTCCAAGTGCGCTGGTTGAAGAGCTAGTGGTGGATGTTCTGAAAGTTGCTATCAAGTTTGTGGAGGTAGATGATACTGTACTTGAAGTACTACCTCCTACAATACTTCTGGTAGAAGAAGTTGAAGGACCAGCAATAGCTCTGGTCGAGGAAGATGATGAGGTCGAAGGTCCGCCAATAATGGCTCGGGTGGAGGAAGTTCGAGTGGAGGAGGTTGAAGGGCTAGGAAGAATGAATGACGTAGGTATCGTACTAGTAGTGGTAGTAGTAGTAGTCGTAATACCTCCAATAATACCAACGCTCGTAGTTGGGATTACTGTAGTTAGAGAACTAGTTGCACTTGGAGATACAGGTGGGAACGGAAAGCCAATAATGAACGGAAAGCCCAACAGTTGTAAGAACCAATAGCGTGAGAGTGCATCTAAAAAGGTTAGGAAGTCGCCAATTGAGATTAGACCTGCAGCAGCCTCCTGTTGAAACTCGGCGAGAGAAGCAAATCCAGCTCTACGTAGAAAGGCGGCAAGGGCGGCAGCATCCAACCTGTTTAAAATTTGGGAAATATACGCTGCATTGGCTCCTTCGCCTCGTAGAAATAGGATAAGTGGAGTATAGGGAGACCATTGTCCATTTTTTACACCTCCATTACCCCCATTGTTTCCTGGATTATTGTTTCCTGGGTTGTTATTTGAACCACCACCGTTTCCAAGGCCAGGGAAGCCAGGAAAGTTTGGAAATCCATTTGAACCTCCATTCCCACCACCTCCATTGTTTCCTAAGCCTCCGCCATTTCCAAAGCCAGGGAAGCCGGGGAAGTTGGGGAATCCATTCGACCCTCCGCTTCCGGGGTTGCCAGGAGTATTGCCACCTGGGCCTCCTGGATTGTTATTGCCTCCTGGATTGTTATTACCTCCTGGATTATTGTTCCCTCCTGGATTATTGTTCCCTCCTGGATTGTTGTTCCCTCCTGGATTATTATTGCCTCCGGGGTTGTTATTCCCACTAGGGTTATTATTGCCTCTAGGGTTATTGTTGCCTCCTGGATTGTTGTTCCCTGGATTGTTGTTCCCTGGATTGTTGTTCCCTCCTGGATTGTTATTCCCAGGATTATTATTGCCAGGACCACCTCCCGAGCCGAGATTTCCACCGTTCCCCCCAAGTAATTGCGAAATAAAGTCAGAGATCGAGTCATCATCCTCATCCCCATCCGAATCAAAGAGATCGGCTATAGAATGGCCATTGGAGTCATTGGGGTTTGTGGAAAACAAAAAATGGTTTGCTCTATAACATCAAAGTCTTTATCAGCAACTATTATCTTCAAACTGATGCCTTCAACCAGACATGGAATTTCAGAGACAAACGTACATGCTATCGTCTCCTTCAGCTCTCGCGACCTTTTCACTAACAGCGCTCTCGCTCAAAACCGTCGAGACAGTAACACTTAGAGCCACAGCCCAAACTGCAGCATTGCGAACAAACATCTTAGAGGTGAAAAGATTGTGATGGTCCAATTAAGGACAGGTTGATGAATGACCGACTGTAAAACGAGAAGCGCAAAATGAGAGAGCGCAGCGAGAACAAAAGTACATCAAGCGTAACTTAACTTGACAGGCGTAGAAATCTATCATTCTAGTAGAACACTCAGATTATAAACAGAGGCATTCATCTAACCCCCCTCCTCCAAGCGCGTGCATTTCGCGAAATATGTGATGTGGATATCCAAGCATTCTTGAAGCGCGCCGACCAAAGGAAACACAGAAAAAGACGTTTGTGATCTACAAAACATTCGCTAAGGAATGAAGCTTATAGCAAACCATTTCAGCCACTGATACTGATGAATCTAAGTCAAAGGGATAGGAAATCATGTTTCCGAAGGGAACTTTTTAGCCTCTTACGTTCCTTTCCTGGGCGAGCCACGGCTTGAATAGATCTTGTAAATACCGACGATATTGCGTTATTCGAATCTTAATTACTATCAAGATTGCTTTTGTCCTGAAACAATGCTTATCGACGAATTTCTGAGTAAGATTGAAGTGTACAATCGTTGATAATCAACTACCATAGGTGGCATGTACTGAACAGTGTAGACCACTTAATATCATTTTCCGGAGTAACAAACTTTTGCATATCTTCAGAAGGTCAATCCAGGCACGCGGTAGCGTGGCATGAGAGACTTCTCACGGTAACTTCCGTCAAGATGTCATACATTAAATGACGGGGTCGAGTGAAGAAAATGAAGCCCGGCTTCTTGAATGAATCCAACCCTTGATATCTTGGATTGAACGACAGAATTTCTTACTTTGTCGTGTAGTTTCTGCGTGTAAATAATGATCCTTCTCCTCATTATGCCTGAAAGTATTGTGTTGATACGATGTACTATAAGTAGGTGGTAGTGAAAGAGTTTCAGGGCATGGTTCACAACCATTCGATTTTTCAACAATGTGACTGGGTTCTAAAAATCACGTGATACAGCTCAAGCTCAAACAAACTAATTCTACCTACCTAATCAAGTGATTTAAATCTAGTTCAACTTCCAATTATACAATCTATTTAGCCAAAATCATATAAACAAAAGTAAGAATCACCATAATAAGGGAAGAGGAGAAAAGAGTATCCACATTATACACCCCCTTTGCCCCGAGCCGACCCCTCCGAGTTCCAAGCTCTAGTCATATATGATTATCTTTTGAATTCTCAGTTGATATTCAGCGATATGAAGAATCTAGAGGTATAGTATAGTATCTCGTGCTCGGGTAGTAATTTCTACTTCCCCTCTTCCTTCCCCTCTTTCTTACATTCACTCTTCCTACTTCCCAAACCAAAGATTTGATAATACTTACTTGATACCCATAGAACACACAACATCAATCAGAAACGTAATAGTAATAGGGGACAAGAAAAGACACATCAAAGACTAAGTGTTATCTAGCGAGCGAACAGCCCAAGACGAGGAGAGGAGTATGAAACGAATCAGCAGAAGGAGAGGAGCATCTATTGAGAAACAGGATTTGAAGCGGGCTGAATGAATCATTTGGGGTTGAAGAACGAGAGTATGTTGTATATATACAATAGAGTTGAACAAGAAAGATAGAGTGTATAGGTTAGACCTGAATTACGAGGGTGTGTACAGTTTGTAGTTAGATAATGAAGGCAGTCAAAAAGAGACAATGTAATCCCAAATGTATGGACCTGTTATGCCCATTTAGACTAGGCTACGACACCCACATACCTGCATCTTTGATCGTTCAGTAGACCTATCGTTCAATTACAGATATCTTAAATTCACTCAAATGATAGCCCTCATAAGAAGGAAACACCTTTGAATCATAAATTCGCCTATCGCTCTAAAACCTGAAAACTACCCGCGTCATGTAATGTACTCTCTCCTCTTTTCCACTCCTCAAAACCGCCCAAGCACACCACACTCCCGCAACTAAATCCCATATTTAAGACTTAGCAGCTTCCAACTCCAACTCCAACTGTCTAATTCTTTCACTTTGATCACCAGGACCAACTCTCATCTTCAATGTATCAACCTCTTGAGTCAATAGACCAATTTTCTCCGTTTGTGCCGTAATAGTTTTAGTTTGGGCTTCCAAAAGTTGCTTAATTTCTGCTAGGGAATCTTCGACACCAACCGAGGTTGGGGATGGTTGGGAAGCACCAACCGCGGAAATAGGACCGGAAGAGGTAGCGATAGTGGCTGGGGTAGCCTTTGCTGCAGGCTCGAATGATGTCGGTGTTGCTTGAGATACAGGGGATGGCTTTGGTGGTGTGACCTTAGTTGGAGCGGGCTTGATTGGTTCTGGCTTCGCTGCAGCTGGAACGGACTTTTGAATTGGCTTTTGAATCTCCTCGAAGCTAGAATTATCATCGGCTTCATCCTCCTCATCATCTTGGAATTTGGAGGCCATGGCGGAAATGGAACCCTTTTGTTCAGACATAGTTGGTGGAGGTGCCCTTTGTGCGACTGGAGCTGGTTCAGGCTCTGCCTTTGGAGGTGCGGTCTTTGTTGGGGCTGGGGTTGGGGCTGGTGCAGCGACAGGTGGCTTATAATCGGATGGGACCTCAACTGGGGCGTTTCCTTCATATACACTTTCCAAATCGATCTTGGCAGGAATTCCATCTTTACCAGCAAGCCATTCCTCAGCAGTAACTGCAGGTTTCAAACCAATTGCAGGTGGGTAGATATCAGATTGGAAGACTTCGGCACGGCGAGGAACTGTGAAAGAGATAGGCTCAACATATTGGTCATTGACGGTTTTAAATCCCTTCATGACTTCGTTCTCGTGAACCTAGATTTTGATTAGAATAGGTATGCGGAAGATACAAAATGACAACCACTTACATTAATACCACGTCTAGGAAGGAATGCGATACCACGTTGTTGATCACTAGACTTATATTCGGACAAAAATTCGAACTTGTCGTTCTCATATTCATAGTATCGAATGTTACCGTCACTAATATTGTTAGCTAGTTTCTCTCCGGTACCTGCCTATGAACTTACCCTTTGCCTGCCAAGTACAAACATTGAGTACCATCATCTAGATGATCGTTAGTATCGATTCAGCATGATTCAGAAATGTCACCTACCCCAGAAAGGCATGCAGACACCCGAGATAGAGTCCAAAACGGTGAACCCTCCAATTGGTTGCTTGGCGTTACCAACATCCCACAAAGCCAATTGACGATCACTCATCTTGGAGAATCCGGTAGTAGCCACGCGATTATGTTCACCCATCCATACAACTCTGCTATTCTTTGCGCCAGTATGTCCAGGTCCTTCGTGTGCAGGTCTCTCTTGTCGAGTGTCCCAAATGCGTAATTTCTTGTCTCGAGAAGTGGTGGCCATAAGAGCTCCATTCGCGCTCCATGATAAACTTTGTACAATATCTCCGTGCTTCAATGTCAAAGGCGCTTTCCCGGTGCCGACATCCCATAGCTTAACTGTGTAATCTCCAGATGCAGATGCGAGAATGTTGTTTGCCGCGGGGTTGAAAAGAACTTGTCCGACTTTCCTGCAGGTTATTAGAACCAATTCGAACCTTCGGTATTATCGGCACATACCTAGAATGACCTGCCAATTTGCTGACAGGCGCAACATCGACGGGTTCTTCAGAGTCTTGATAGAGGGAGAAACCTTGAGGAACCTCCCATATAAATACCTTTCCATCATCAGATCCGGAAGCGATAATGCGATCGTTGAAAGGGTTCCTGATTCATCCATGAGAGTTTATTCCAATCTGCCGCTTTATCGACTACTCACCAATCCGTATCAAGAACCGGTCCAGTGTGACCTCGAAACAATGGAATTTGTTCTGGCAGACGACCCTTTTCATTCAAAGGAATAACAGCGAATGCGCCTCCACCACTAGCTTCCCAATTGACCGAAAGATATTCAGGATTGGCCTATTTTGGATGGTGAGTTACCTTCCTTCCTCAAATCTATGTTATGTCACTTTTCCGAGTCATTGGTTTTCCCACCTTGATTAGATTGGTATCCCATGCATTGCGACTGATATGCAAGTTATCGTAGCATGCCTCCTTCTTGGATGATTTACCAAAGACATGTCCTATTTGGTCGGTCGGTCAGCGATTGCTCTCGTGCCTCTCTTCTTGGGGATAGGATATTGGATATTGCAACAAGGCTTACGATATTTCGACGCGCGCACAAAACGACCAGCCATCCCAGCTCAAACGAATGATATGGAAAGAAGGGGATCAAGGTTATGGAAATGTAGACCGTTAAGAAATGTTGAGGAAGAAATTCCAAAAACAAAAAAAGAATGTGTTAATTCAGTTTGTTTGTTTGATGTTTGATGTTTGATTTTTGATTTTTGATTTTTGATATTTGTGAGGGGATGATTATGCGAAGCTCATCCAAAAGTCTTTCTTCTGATGATGCTATCTATCTGCTTTGCAGGCTGTAGGTAATTAAGTGCTGGTGAAACTCAATTTCTAGCGGCGTATGTTGCAGTTTAGCAGTTTAGCAGTTTAGCAGTCTAGCAGTTTTATTAACAGTTTTAAAGACTTGCTGCGCCCGCCAAAGATTACACGGGGGTTTTAAAGTTCACCACAATGGGAAATCACGGGGCCCCTTGTCAATATCGTCTCATATTAAATCTGAGGAGAGTCGAGACAAAGGGAATGACTTCAACCCCTTTTTTTTTCTTGTCCTATTCCTATTTATGATATTCTCTTTCATGAATGGCATTAATTTGATCGATTCCATAATACCAAGTATGGAGTACGAGTTCCTTGCTATGGTTCGAACCCACCGACTCCTCCTAGCGCCCACTTTCTGCTGCATAATTCCCCACCAAACCACCAACAACTCTGAGTAGCTGGTATTCCTCCACAGTTTGAGTAGAGTATATATATTCGAAAACTGGATTTTTTCCTAACAATATGTAACGGACGCGTGGTCTAATGGTTATGATATTTCGTTCACAACATGTGTACATACGTTCGGATCCAG